TTTAATTTGAAGCCCGCCGCACTTCCGCCGCGCCGTAACTGCCGCTCGCTTTCCGCGCAGAGGCGAGCTCCGCACCGCTCTCAAAACAGCGGGCTCATGGACTGAACATGGCCCAAAACCGAAGCCTTTTCCTCGAAGGTAAGCGGTGGCAGCCCCCTCCCGCAGCCGGGGACCGTGCCCTCCGCGGCGCCTCGCAGTCTCCCGGGGGTCGGTGTAAAAAAGCCCCAGCCGCGGAGCTCTTTTTGGGGCTAAAGCGGCGACAGACCGCTGCTACACGCTCCGCTTAGCCCCGCTGCTAACCGAGCGATTTTAGCCCCAGAAAACGGCCCAGCACGGCTCCCCCCGGGCTCAAATGACCACAATAACGTAATATAACAAAACTAAAGACCCAAACGTGTCCAAAACCTCCACATGAACCACACAGAGTCAAGTTTCAATCATTTTAGCGTCAATATTGTGAGCTCGAGAGCTAACCGCCTGCTAGCCCCTCAGCTGAGCGTGTAAACAATGCTTTTTCATGTTTTCTTCTTGGTTTTCAGGCGCAACTGTTCGATTTGACACCTCCTGCCTGAAAACATGACACTAACCATCAGCTCGCACCCCGTATTTGTGAAAAACATCAGATTTTGGCCACATTTTCGTCTCGTTGTCTTGCCAAATCTACCTGTAATTAAGCAGCTGAAGCTCGTTACTCTAAATATGTGTGGAATTCTAACGGAATCTGAAATGTTTTTATGATCTCTGAGCTGGACTCCCGTGTGCATCTTTGGATCTGGTTTAGACCTGGTTTAAACCTGGTTTAGTCCTGGTTTAGTCTTGGTTTAGACCTTGTTTGGCCCTGGTTTGGCCCTGGTTTAGCCCTGGTTTGGACGTGGTTTGGACCTGCATTGGCCCTGGTTTGGCCCTGGTTTAGTCTTGGTTTGGCCCTGGTTTAGACCTGGTTTAGACCTGGTTTGGACCTGGTTTGGACCTGGTATAATCCTGGATTAGTATTGGTTTAGTCTTGGTTTGGACCTGGTTTAGACCTGCTTTGGACCTGCTTTGGACCTGGTTTGGCCCTGGTTTGGCCCTGGTTTGGTCCTGGTTTAGTCCTGGTTTGGCCCTGCTTTGGCCCTGCTTTGGACCTGTGTTGCACCTGGTTTGGACCTGGTTTAGACCTGGTTTGGACCTGGGTTAGTCCTGGGTTAGACCTGGTTTGGACCTGGTTTCGATTTGACACCTCCTGCCTGAAAACGTGACACTAACCATCAGCTCGCACCCCGTATTTGTGGAAAAACATCAGATTTTGGCCACATTTTCGTCTCGTTGTCTTGCCAAATCTACCTATAATTAAGCAGCTGAAGCTCGTTACTCTAAATATGTGTGGAATTCTAACGGAATCTGAAATGTTTTTATGATCTCTGAGCTGGACTCCCGTGTGCATCTTATCTGTGCGGGTATGTCCGTGTTGTGTCCTTGTTTATCCGCCGTTTGCACATGTCAGCAGAGGAGCACAGAGGAGCGCAGAGGAGCACAGAGGAGCTGGGTGGTCAGGAGAATAAAAAAATACTATAACTACTAGAACTACTGACAAATACTAGATACTCATTTTTCGCAAGTTTGGATACTAACAAAAGTCCAGTTGCACAGCCTTTCGTGAATGTCTTTAGAATGAACTTGAGCTGGATCACAACAAGTATAAGAGCACAGAGAAGAGTATATGCTCCTGGACCTGGTTTGGACCTGGTTTAGTCCTGGTTTGGATCTGGTTTGGACCTGGTTTAGTCCTGATTTGGACCTGATTTGGGCCTGGTTTGGGTCTGGTTTGGGCCTGGTTTGGGCTTGGTTTGGGCCTGGTTTGGACTGTGTTGGACCTGTTTGGACCTGTTTGGCCCTGGTTTGGACCTGTGTTGGGCCTGGTTTGGCCCTGGTTTGGACCTTGTTGGGCCTGGTTTGGACTGGTTTGGACCTGGTTTAGTCCTATTTGGGCTGGTTTGGGCCTTTTGGGCCTGGTTTGGCTTGGTTTGGGCCTGGTTTGACCTGTGTTTGGACCTGTTTGGCCTGGTTTGGACCTGTGTTGGGCCTGGTTTGGATCTGGTTTGGACCTGTGTTGGGCTTGGTTTGGGCCTGGTTTAGACCTGGTTTGGGCCTGGTTTGGACCTGGTTTAGTCCTGATTTGGGCCTGATTTGGGCCTGGTTTGGGCCTGGTTTGGGCCTGGTTTGGGCCTGGTTTGGGCCTGGTTTGGGCCTGGTTTGGGCTTGGTTTGGGCCTGGTTTGGACCTGTGTTGGACCTGGTTTGGCCCTGGTTTGGACCTGTGTTGGGCCTGGTTTGGCCCTGGTTTGGACCTGTGTTGGGCCTGGTTTGGCCCTGGTTTGGACCTGTGTTGGGCCTGGTTTGGACCTGGTTTAGTCCTGATTTGGGCCTGATTTGGGCCTGGTTTGGGCCTGGTTTGGGCCTGGTTTGGGCCTGGTTTGGGCCTGGTTTGGGCCTGGTTTGGGCCTGGTTTGGACCTGGTTTGGACCTGGTTTGGGCCTGGTTTAGACCTGGTTTGGACCTGTGTTAGACTTGGTTTGGGCCTGGTTTAGACCTGGTTTGGCCCTGGTTTGGACCTGTGTTACACCTGGTTTGGGCCTGGTTTGGGCCTGGTTTAGACCTGGTTTGGGCCTGGTTTAGACCTGATTCGAGGACACATGGGAATAGAAAAGAAAGTGCAACCATTTAATGAGGAAAATCAGAGTGTTTTATGTCATCACAGTATTGGAATCTGTATTAAGTATCAAGTTTATTTCTTAGTATCAAAAGCAAGTTTGAGGTTTTAGTATGATGACAGCACTCGTGAGGAGTAGGGATTATTCCCCAGTGTCAGAAATTCAACTTGTTCCCAATTTTAAAATGTGACAAAACCAATTAAAAGAAAACCTGTGGAATATTTGCTCAGTTGAATAAAATCTACTGGGTCCACAAAAGACTCTTGAGTTTCATCCTAATGGTGTCCATGAAGCTCTGCAGAAAAATCAGTTTTTCTCAAATAAAATTAAAAATAATCAATTTAGGGCCATAGTGTCAATGAAATTTGAATATAAATGTTGTCATTCCGCATTTTTTTTGGTAATTTTATGTCTCTGTCTTCATAAGTTTTTAAGATATGACAATTTCGTCAAGATTTTGAGTGTTTTTTCATAATTAGCCAAAATCCACAAAGGCCAAAGATTAAATGAGAGACATAAAGTTTGTTTTTTCTGTAGTGATCGTAGACTGTTTAAAAAGTGGAGTAAATGAGTGTGACGTCACCAGAGCGTCTCAGTGACAGGTACGGCCCAATGACCGGTACGACTCAGGGTTCGATAAACCCAAGTTTCCAAACAATGATAAGGATGTTATTAAAGAAAAGAAGAAAAAAAAATTGATGTTTCAGCTCAGATTTAAGGCTTCTGCTGGTCCTAAACTTCAGAGTCTTGGTGGATCCAGTAAACATCAAGAGAATTTCATGAAATTTCTCATGGAATTTTACTTTGGCAAGTGTAAAAAATGATACTAGGTACAGATTGATTTTCAAAAAGTTTTCAAAAAGTTGGGCAAATGATGCTCCATCGTGGGATGTAACAATAACCGAAATACTGTGGTATCTTGTCGTCAAAAGTCTCTGTGATATTGTGGGTTGTCACAGTATATTGAATCTCAACTGTTTTTGCTCAAATTCTTTGTTATGATGCAGCAACAAGAAAAGAATCACAGGAAACTACATAGACCATGATCCTTTGCTCTGTTTCACTCCCATTTACACAGTGAAATGGCACTTTTAAATCTTAACTCTCTGATTTATGACAGAACCAAAGGCTTGTTAAGGCATTTTTAAAGGAAATTGTTGTATGTTCAATTTTGTTAGTTTACAAAATATTCCAATAAATATCGTACAGAGAAATGTGGATATCGTTACATCCCTCGTGAGGAGCCGTGAGGAGCCGTGAGGAGCTCAGGAGCTCAGGGTTGCTTTAAAGGGCTCAAATATGGAGTAAGAAAGCTGTCAAAAATATTCGTGCGCGTAAAATAGAAATCCGTGCGTATTTGGGAAATCCGTGCATATTTGGCTGTAGTTGCGCATAAAATAAATATTTGTAAACTCTCAAATGACTCCAGTCGTACATAAAATATATTGTGTGTATTTTATCCATCAGAATACGAATTGAAAAATTACGACGTCATGAATTACAATCACGAAATGAAAATTTACGATTACGCTTTCATCAGTACGAATACGAATTCACAGACGGAACTTTACTGTCAAAAATACGTCATCACTTCACAGACATTATCCATCGAGCAGAAGAAACATCGATCAAGATCAAGACTGAGCAGCTCAAGTTTGTAGCAGAGTAAAAACAGAGTAAAAGCACAAGAAGCTACAACAGCGACCAACAAGTGGGTTAATTAAAATCTATTGTAAAAATGTCTTGAATTCGGGAACCGAACGCTGCTGTGTAATATTGTGTAGAAACACTTCCTTTGAACGGGAAATTGCACCTATATGTTAGAAAACATAGTGGAGCCAGTTGGAAACATTCGACGTAACGTTATCCCAGGGATCATTAACAAATATCAGGTTCTCTGTATGTTTAGATTAAACATTCACGACTACAGCCACTCTGTTTTTACCCTCTGCTACAAACTTGAGCTGCACAGTCTTGATCTTGATCGATGTTTCTTCTGCTCGATGAATAATGTCTGTGAAGTGATGACGTATTTTTGACAGTAAAGTTCCGTCTGTGAATTCGTATTCGTACTGATGAAAGTGTAATCGTAAATTTTCATTTCGTGATTGTAATTCATGACGTCGTAATTTTTCAATTCGTATTCTGATGGATAAAATACACACAATATATTTTATGTACGACTGGACTCATTTGAGAGTTTACAAATATTTATTTTTATGCACTACACAAATATGCATGGATTTCCCAAATACGCACGGATTTCTATTTTACGCGCACGAATATTTTTGACAGCTTTCTTACTCCATACTCAAAGGCAGTTATCTTGTGGCTCAGTTATTTCACGTTGGTCTCTTTGGCGTTTGTGTGCTCGTTTTGTCTCGAGCTGGTTTGGTTTGGTCTGGTCTTGTTCCTGGCTCAGCTCTGGTCTCCTGCTCCTGACAGGTTTCACCCGGAGACGCTGAAGTGTGGGTCAAATGCAGGTTGAGGAGTTTGGTTGGAGCGTTTGTCCTCTGAAGGTCTGAAGGTTGGCGGTTCGACATAAAAAAGCATCGCTGGTTGAGCTTTCTCATCCACTGACCTGCAGGTTGGCGGTGTGATTCCAGCTCCCACAGCTGTTGTGTCCTTGGGCAAGACAATTAACGCACCTCATCCCCGGTATCTGCGCACTGTGGGTCTGTTGTGTGAATGTGTGTGTGAATGGGTGAGTGGTTCTTGGTTTTAAAGGTTCCTTGGTTCCTTGAAGATGGAAAAGGATGTGATTTTTACTGTTGAGCACTTTGGTGAGCTTTGGCTGTTTTAAATGTGCTGTAAAGATAAATTTGATTTGATTTAAAACAGAAACGCTGAAGGACGGGTCAAATACAGGTTTAACCAAGAGCTGCAGGTTTAAAACAGAAGCTGAAGTAAGGCTGTGCAGTTAATTGGATTTTGACTGGAGATCGTTTCACACACAAATTGAAACTGAAAACTCGTATAAATCAAGTTGAAATGATTTAGGCTGCACTCACACTCGGGACTAGAACCACCGTACGTTTGTCCAGTGTGAGCGCAACCGAACAGAGTCCAGGCCCGGCTGGAGGAGGTGGACCAAAGCACGACACACGCACGACTTTAGTATAAGATCAGTCCGATGTGCTGATGTCACTCGTACGATAAAAACAGTGACCGCAAAACTAGAGAAGAGAAACGACCTGAGGCTGTGGAAAAGTCTGTATCCGTCTTTAGTAATTTGCTTTTGATTCATATTTTATAGAATAACACAGACTTTTCCACAGCCTCAGGTCGTTTCTCTTCACTTGTTTTCTAGAGTTTTGTTAAAGCTGCTGCCGTCAGCTGAGAGGAAATGACCTCATATTTCTGCAAAAACAATAATGAATAGTCCAGAGAGATTCATTTGGTCTTCTGATATTTTATGTTATTTGGTTCTTTTTACAGACCAAGAGTTTGTTTTCATACGTGACAGTTTCGACGGCTCACTAGCGCTCTTCCTCAGAGTCACGTGACGTTGCTGAACTCGTCGTCGGTAAAAAGAACCTAATAACATAATAATAATTCATAATTTTAGAAACAAACTCGCTCGAATTAAAACAGTCACAGCACAAAACGGCACGAACCAAATAGAAAAGTTTCATCATTTTCTGCTGTTTCGAGGGACTGGATTCATCAGCCGGTTTTACTTTGTTTTAATTCGTTTCACTTCGTACAAACCGTGTGACCTCGCAGCCTTAGATTTCGTTCGCTCGACGGTAGGCAGGGACTTTTTATCATTTAACCAATAGTTACTGTTTGGTCGTGACGTGTGTAATGCGCCGCAAACGGGGACAACTGGTGTATCCAGCTTTTCCCAAATCCCGTAGGAAGAAGGACAATAACGTCTTTCCCCTTGATAAAATTCACCAAACATTCTCTTTCTTCCGTTGTGGGAAAGTATTTTGAATAGGGATGGGCATGATTAATCGATTAATCGATAATTGATCATTAAGAATTTCATCGATTACGTTCATTTTAATCGACAAACTGAATGTATGTGTGTGTGTCGTGACCAAACAGGTGTGTACATGTGTCTCTGCATCAGAAGGAGCGAGACACAAACAGTGGGTCAGTCTGTAACGAACCGAAGCACAAATGTGGATTTAACCAGGATTTGTAGAAGAAATTCCACACTTTCCGTTGCGTTGGGACAAGTGTGAGTCCATGTGCACAGTGGATAAAGCAGCACATATGTTTCTGTGTCCAGTGGGAAAAAGTTTTTCCAGGTGAGAGTCGCTCAATGTGGATGACGAGGCCCCGCCCCCCTCCCCCCGTACGCTGTCCTGGTTTTGACAAACACAAATCTGGTCACACTGACCTGTATTCACCTGAGTCATGTCTTTTAATCCAACACAAGTTGAACCACATCAGCGACACAAGAGCTGGAGTTTTATCTTCACTTAGTTTATGTAAATTAGTGATGTGGTTTTAAGTTTTGTTTCTGTGAGATTTGAACAAAACTGAATTAAACACATTATAATGTCAAACAGCTGATGTGGATCTAGAGTCGTTATGTTTATATGTCGTAAAGTTGAATTTATTTATGCAGATTAGTGCAGATAGTAATAATAATGATGATCATTTTAATAGAAAAACGTTAATGATTAATCGATAATTGATCGTTAATTCTTCAGACGATCGATTAAGAAAATTTCACCGAATGCCCGTCCCTAGTTTTGACCCCCATAGTACATTGACCCCAGGGTGAACATACCGCTATAGTAAAATGACCCCCTAAAGGATTTTGACTCCCCTGACTTTTTCCTTTTAGTAGTTACTTATCTGATCATTATTTCTCATGTCATTTACTTTTATTATATATCGCTACATATTCACTTTTTTTGAAGGTGTTTTAAGGAATGTTTTGATGTAAAACAACTTGGTATTTTGTGTAAATGTGACGTTGGTGAGGGCGTGTATATCTGGATTGTGGGGCGCAAAGTCGTTTTTTGATGGGGTTGGAGGCTTAAGAGCGCGTCTAATAGCCCGGAAAATACTGTAATATTCAGAGTTTTTCTATAGATTTCAAGTTCTTTATTAATAAAATATAGAATCCTACACCACACCGGCTTTAAATCCTTGATCTCTACTGAATATATCACTCTTCTCTGATTGGTTGGTGCCTGAACTCGCACTTCCGGGGTTTTTGCGAACCGTCTAGTGTATTCCGATTCCTGACCTAGAGCTGGAGAGAAATGAAATTGAGCGGAGGCACTAGGTGGACGACGTCACCGGCCCAAAATAAAGCCACAAACTAAACTTTTTGCAGCACAAATGTTTGACTCAGTTTTGTGTCGTTTTTAGAGCATTTTGAAGTTTCCTGGAGGCTGCTGACCCCAGTTTGACCTGTAAAAGAATCGTTAATATCTCCAAAAATAAAGCAGCGCAAACAAAACTTTCTCCAGGCCGAGCGATTGACAGAGTTTTTGTACGTTTGTGTTTGATGGGGGCGACTTCACGCAGGTAAACAGTGGACCTGCTTTAACCTGTCTGGAGCTGGAGGAGTCTTGTGCATGTTTCAGGTTGAAGACGCAGGTAGGACGTTCAGACTCCACACAGACTGAGCCCACGTGGACCCAGATCAGAGCCCAGTTTGTGTGAGGCGTGCGTCGGTCTGCAGGTGGCGCTGTGACGGTGTTTTGTGTGTTTTGTGTGCAGGGCTGGAGCGGGCGGAGAGCAGGAGAGATGGAGGATTTAACCAGTACAAAGAGTGGGGCTTCTCACTCTCCGAAGACGCTGAAGACGACAAGAAACACAAGTAAGAACTGGACCAGAACCGGACCAGGGACCAGGGACTGGACCAGAGAAGATCAGATCAGACCAGACATCAGGCCAGGGACCAAAGACCAGAGAAGATCAGATCAGGGACCAGAGATCATAGATCAGGAACCAGGGAAGACCGGACCAGGGACCAGGGAAGACCGGACCAGGGACCAGGGACCAGGGTAGACCAAACCAGGGAGCAGAGGACCAGGGAGCAGAGGACCAGGGAGCAGAGGACCAGGGAGCAGAGGACCAGGGAGCAGAGGACCAGGGAGCAGAGGACCAGGGAGCAGAGGACCAGGGAGCAGAGGACCAGGGAGCAGAGGACCAGGGAGCAGAGGACCAGGGAGCAGAGACCGGAGACTCAGTATCTGTTTTTTAAAAATTTTCAGAGCTTCATTGTGTAACTTTTCTGGTGGTCGTCAGGTTTCTTTTTTGAGTTTGGTGAATCTGGACGGACTCCAGTGACGAATGTGAACGGTTTATAAAACTGTGTGTGTGTTGTTGTTGTTGTTGTTGTTGTGTAAAATGTTCTCTTCTGTAGTTTAGTGAAGTGTTGTGTTTATGTTTGTGTGTGTTTTCAGTTGTAGTGGCGTGAGAATGGAGCAGAGCGACCGACAGCAGACCACGCCCCCCGACGAGAGCAAGGTACCACAGACTCGACACATCAGAGAAAATCTACTGTTTTTATAAATAGCCATTTTTTAGGTTTAAATTTTGACTTCCTATTATTACCCCCGCCAAGGAGGTTATGTTTTTGCCGGCGTTTGTCTGTTTGTTTGTTTGTTTGTTTGTTTGTCTGTTAGCAACATAACTCAAAAAGTTATGGACCGATTTTGATGAAATTTTCAGGATTTATTGGAAATGTGAAAAGGAAGAACTGATTTCATTTTGGGGCTGATCCGGAAGAAATCCTGGATTCTGGATCACTTTGAAATTTTAGTTAACATTGTGGTAAATGGGGCCAAAAAATTTAGTTTCTCAATATCTGGGTTAATTATTGACCAAACCCCATGAAATTTGACTCAGGGATGGACAATGGGATCCTCTTTCATATTCCAAAGGCTGATCCGGATCTGATCCACAAGACTGATTTTATCGTAATTTATATAAAAAATGGGGGTAGTCCTTGGCGGAGGTCTGCGCTCTCTGACTGCTTTTCTAGTTTAACAGAAAAAAATTAGAAAGAAAATGTGTTTATTTTGTTGTATCGGGGGAAAAAATGAGTTTCTTGTGTAAATTGTGTTGAACTTTTGGATAAAACTCTCGCAGTGCGATGATGTCAGTGTGTGATTCTCTAAACCAGAACTCTTTACTTTCTGCATTCTTTCATTTGAAGTGTCCGAAAATTTAAAAAAAAGGCACAAAAACCTATAGATCTGCCCACTGATTAATAATCTGTGTAAAACCAGCAAAAGAATCTCTGTATCTCCTTCCCCATCTGTCCTGTCCTCTTCTTTTCCCCACTTTTTTCTCTCTGTCTGTCTGTCTCTCTCTCTGTTTGTCTTTCTCTGTCTCTGTTTCTCTTTCTCTGTCTCTCTTTCTTTGTCTCTCTTTTTCTGTCTCTTTCTTTGTCTTTCTCTGTCTCTCTGTCTCTTTCTCTCTCTCTCTGTGTGTCTCTCTTTCTGTCTCTCTCTGTCTCTCTTTCTGTCTCTCTCTCTTTCTTTGTCTTCCTCTGTCTGTTTTTCTGTCTCTCTTTCTTTGTCTCTCTTTCTTGTCTCTTTTCTGTCTCTCTCTTTCTTTGTCTCTCTTTTTCTGTCTCTTTCTTTGTCTTCTCTGTCTCTGTCTCTTTCTTTGTCTCTCTTTCTGTCTCTCTCTTTCTGTGTCTCTTTCTGTCTCTTTTTCTGTCTCTTTCTTTGTCTTCCTCTGTCTGTCTTTCTGTCTCTCTTTTTCTCTGTGTCTCTTTCTTTGTCTCTTTTTCTGTCTCTCTCTTTCTTTGTCTCTCTTTTTCTGTCTCTTTCTTTGTCTTTCTCTGTCTCTCTGTCTCTTTCTCTGTTCTTCTCTCTGTCTCTCTCTTTCTGTCTCTCTTTCTGTCTCTCTCTCTCTTTCTTTGTCTTCCTCTGTCTGTCTTTCTGTCTCTCTCTTTCTCTGTGTCTCTTTCTTTGTCTCTTTTTGTCTCTTTCTTTGTCTTTCTCTGTCGCTCTCCCTTCCTCTATCTCGCTTTCTGTCTCTCTCTCTGTCTCTTTCTTTGTCTCTCTCTCTCTTCCTCTGTCTATCTCTCTTTCTGTCTCTTTCTGTGTTTCTTTCTCTGCCTGTCTCTCTCTCTGTTTCTCTGTCTTGTTCTTTTTGTCTCTCTCTCTCTCCCTCTTTCTCCCTATTTCTCTTTCTCTCAAACTTCGAGAAGCTTTCATCTGAACAGTATTTAACATCCCTCTCTCTCTTTCTCTCTCTGTCTCTCTCTTTCTCTCCAGTCTCCTCCAGTGCGTCTCCTTTCTTCGTCGGACCCCCTCAGAACCTACGAGAACCGTTCCAGCAGCAGTCGGCCGCTGCACAGACTCGCCCCCAAGAAACACATGTGAGACTTTCCCCTCTGTCGTTCTGTGGTTAAACACTTCATATTGTTCTGTTTTTCTAATGTCGTTCCCTCGTCGCTCACAGACCTGGAGTTGTGTTTTTTTGTTTCATTCACATGTTTAACTCACAAACCCTGCACATATAGGCTGAGTTCTTCTTCTCTCAAACACAAAACACTCTGTTCCATGTTGTGATGTCATGTGGAGATACAGGAAGTGCTCCACTGTGTTTTTAATCTCCATTCAATTCAAAATTCATTTTTTTTTAAAATTATTATTATTATGTTTATTTATTTCGGACAGTAATACATAGAACATAAATTAAAAAACAAAAACAAAAAACTAAATAATAAAATAAGACAAAAACATAAATACATAGATATAACACAAAAAGTAACTATTTCTATTCTATAATAATAGGCAAAATAAATGTTACGCAGAATTTTCCTTGTGTCCCAAAAAGGAGTGGGAGGAAGTAAATACTTATTTAACCCCACCCCTTTTTTCTACAGTCTCAAATTAACGAAGAACAAATACAGACGTCTCATTTCCTGTACATTATAAGCAATAATTGCACAGTACCTCCATTGCATTACAATCTAACAGACAACAACAAATTAAACAATTAAAAAAGGTCATTGTCAAATTTCCATATGAAACATATAAATTATGTTTTCACTCTCAATCTTCTAAAGTAAATAAGAATGAAATGAATAAATAGAAAAGTCCAAGTGTTCTTCTTTAAGGAGACACAGACTCTGGGTTCCTGTCAGCCTGGTGGTTAGAGAGAGAAGAGAGTTCAGCTCCTAACAGCCTGGACCGATGACGCTGGTGGTGCGGGACAGGAGGCTCCTGTACCGGAACACACAGTGTGCGGGGTGACTTGCAGTTACATTTGTTTTGCGGGTGAGGTACTTGCCCGCTTGAGGCGCTGCTGGGTTTTCGGGTCTCAGATTCAGATTCAGAAAACTTTATTGATCCCATAAGGCAATTCATTAGCAGCATCTCTGAGCAAAACGAACACAAACGAACACGAACGAACACAAACAAACACGAACAAACACGAACAAACACGAAAACACGAACGAACACGAACGAACACAAACGAACACAAACGAACACAAACAAACACAAAACAAACGAACAAACGAACAAACAAACAAACACAAACGAACAAACAAACACAAACAAACACAAACAAACACAAAGTGAGTCAGTCCATTGTCGTCCACCAGTGGAACTCAAAATAAAAAACTAATTGCAGTGTAAAACTTTCATAAAACTATCATAAAACTGTACCGTTAGAATTTAACAATTTAATAGCACAGGTAACAAAAGAATTAGAAAACCGGTTGGTTTTCCGTATTGGAGCATAAAACCGACGCCCTGAAGGCATCAGGATAAAATCAGGAGCCAGAGGATGGAGCGGCTGAGCCAGGAGGCACTTGGCTTTGCTCAGCACCTGCTCCTCCCACAAAGAACTCAGGTCCCTCAGTTTGATCCCTGTGATTTTTGAGCAGGTTTTAACAATATTTTGAAGTTTGTTTTTATCCTTCACAGACAAGGATTCAAACCAGCAAATAAAATAAAAAGTAAGAAGACTTTCGATAAAAGAACAATAAAAATGGTTAAGAATCATTTTGTTCACCTTAAAAGAGTTCAGTTTCCTCAGTAAATATAATCTTTGCTGCCCTCGTTTGACGACGCTTTCAGTGTTTAGGTCAAATTTTTGTTTATTGTCCATCACAGTGCCCAGATATTTGTAGCTATTTCAACATCATCACCGTGGACGACACCGACACTGTGGGAAGAAGGGCTGCACGTCCACACACCTTCAGTAGAATCGTTTGGACCATTTCAGCCCCGGAACTGCCGATCTCTACTGAACTAAAAGTGAAAGGAGCTGTTAAAAACTTGAAAACTACCTCTTCATGTCGTCACAAGAGGGAACAGAGCGTTTAGAGCTTTGGAGATGTAGACGGACTCGTAATGAAGTGTTACTCCAAACATGTGAATGAAACAAAACGCGTCTTGAATCTCACAGGAGTCAGTTTTGTGTGATCATGTCTGTGTCGCGTTTTCAGAGACTCACCGATGCCCAACAGAACCAACTTTGTGATCATCAGCCCCACGCCGTCTCAGGGCATCGTGCTCCAGGGACGACACTTTCAGCACGCCCAGATGCCCTCCCACGTACGCCGACCTCTGACACGGTGAGGCGCTTCTCCCGTCAGCCGTAAAGTGTCCCCTGACCCTCCATACACTGTACCTCTGGGCGTGTCTGTCCCGCTAACCGCAGGAAGTGAGCACGGGCGGGGTTCAGCTCCATCGACTCTGGCTCCAGTTCACTTTCTACTGAAGTGTGCACTGCAAATTTCTCTGATCTGGCCAAGATTTTAAAACTTATATCAGGTCTTATATCTTGTTTTCAGATTTATTATCTACTTACTAGTTCTGACACGGTTTCATTTTAGTCTAGAGTCCGTTTATTTTAAAATAACGTGTCAGGTAAAATGATCTTGCTGCATGGACAGACAATTTCACTATTTTTAAATCATTTTCTGATAGATTTAAGTGTTTATATCTTAAATTTTAGCCAGTTTTTTTTTGCAGGGTGTAACTGTGGCTGTCAGGTTCCTCATTCTGACTTTAAAATGTTGGATTTAATCTGAACATCGTGGGTGTTACAGTCTGTGAGCTTCATCCTGGTTCTCGAGACCAGGACCAGGACCAGACTCAGATCTGAACCAGAGTCCTTCTGGCTCTCGTCTTTAGTTTAGTGTCTGTATTTGACTGAGGTCTTTTCATACAAAGTGATAAACGTGTTTTCTGTTAAAGGGACTTTGCGCCGACGCAGCCCCCGGTGGAGATGGACAGTATCGTTCTCACCTGTCCGGACGTGTCAGGTGCGTCTCTCACCTGTCACACTCGCTCTCTCTGTGTTTAAACTGTCTCATGTCTCTTAGTATCGATACTTAAACAAATATTGAAACTAGATCCTCATTTTTCACAGGTATCAAAACTAAAAAAGTCCCATTGACAGGACAGAGCAGAACCTTTCCTGAATGTGTTTAGAACTGGATCAGAACAAGTATAAGACACAGAGACTAGTATACACCCATGGACCTTGTTTAGACCTGCTTTAGACCTGGACCACTATAGGACCTACCTGAATCCATTTGTCATTCGTTCATTTGTTTTTTAAATAAAACCAAAAATAAGAAACCAAAAAAAAAAAAAACAATTTTCTTCATTATTTGTCTCCCAAAATGAAAAAAAATGGATAAAGGCCGTTTCCCATTTACATGACTTAAACTGCGATGCCGGACTGAACCGGGGCCGGGACCGAGGCCGGGACCGAGGCCGGGACCGAGGCCGGGACCGAGGCCGGGACCGAGGCCGGGACCGGCCGGGACCGAGGCCGGGACTAAAAACGGTTTAGTCCTGGTTCAGTCCTGGTTCAGTCCATATGCAGTCCAAAGCCCGGAATCGCAGGTTAAATCATGTAAATGGGAAACGTCCTTTATCCGTTTTTTCCATTTTCATTTAAACACAAAATCGAAAACTGAAAAAAATGTTGGTTTTGGAGACAAATAATGAAAAAAATAGTTGTTTTTTCCTTTTCTTATTTTTGGTTTTGTATTGAAAAGCAAATGAATTTACCTGGAGCACTGAAAAATTACACAGATATAAGGACACGTGAGAATAGAAAACAAAGTACCGTAATTTCCGGACTATTGAGCGCACCTGAATAAAAAACGCATCAACTAAATTAACTACATTTTAAAATTGTACAAATATCGGCCACACCTGAATATAAACTGAAGGTGAAATCATTTCTTTTTGCATTGACAAAATCTCACCGTCGACTCAGCAGCTCTGTTTCCTTCGCATTTAACTTAAAATCCGCATCATCTGCATTTCTTCGTGTGTCAAACGAGCATCTTCCTCGGCGCGTCATCACCCCGCCTCTCCCCGCGCTCTACTGCACATGTCTCCTGCAGAAAGAGTCTCTTCAGCAAAATTCAGACTCTCTCGGGGGCGGGGACAGGTGTGTGGATCAGGTGTGAGTGGATCTGCGGCTACTGAAGTTTGAGACGTTTCTTCTCGTCATTTACACATTACAGGTCATGAAAATGTATCAAACTCACTCATGTTCATTTAGCATCAGAACTTATTTTGTCACACTGGCATAAACTGAACGCTCTGACAACAGCGCGAGCCAACACTCTAACTTCCTGTGTTATTCGCACTGACAGCGGCGTTTTGTGCACTCAGGCTGCGTGCATCCGCTGTGTCGCCAAACCATAGACCGTATTTATGAATAGACAATGTGCCAAACAAATAAGCCGTCCATAATTTTGCTACTTCGTTTAGACCATGGGTGGGTAAACTACGGCCCGGGAGCTATATGCAGCCCTTTAATCTTTTTATTCCGGCCCGCTGAACTTGAATAATAATAATAATAATAATAAATACATTAATTAATTAATTAAAATAAATTTAAATAAAAATAAATAAAAATAAACATAAATAAATTTAAATAAATATAAATAAATAATAATAATTTTCAGTGTTTTAAAAGTCAATTCAATAAATAGTAAAAACCGTAGGACTAGAAAGACAGATATTTTGCTTCTTTGTAATGATTTTCAATTATGGGATATTTCAATAACATGGGATATTTTTTCTACATATCCCGTGTTATTTTGTTCTTCTATGAGATGGATTACCAAAAAAACTCCATCACATTTTAGAACCATTTGTGGCCCACGAGTCAAAAAGTTTGCCCACCCCTGGTTTAGATGCAATGTTCAAAGTGTGAGGGGAAAAAAGTAGTGGCTTATAGTACGGAAATTACGGTTCTGCAATGTTGGAAAATCACATTCTGTTGTCTAAATGTTTTTCAGTATAATATTTTTCAGTAACTGCTCTGGTCTCTGGGTTAAACGTATTGGTTGTAGTTGGGTTTGACGACGTGTTTTTTTTTTTTTTTTTCCACAGACGACGAACGTTTGAATGTGAAGCGGCGAATTGTTCAGCGGAGGCAGGAATGTCGCACCTTCACTTCACCACCAGAGGTCAGTATTCTACGGTGACGGAGGTGGACGGTGTAGTGCAGGGGGGTCCAAACTTTTTTCATCAAGGACCACATATCTAAACACAGATGAAGCAGAGGGCTGATCGAGGGCCGTAGACTGGTGCTCAGTACAGTGAATAATTAAAATATGTGCATGTTTAACACATTAGAATGAAACATTTGTCTTTATTCACGCTAAGATTCTTAAAACCACACACTAAATATTAAATATGAGCTTTATTAAGGTAGATTTTCAAAAAACTTGCAGTAAAAGTTAAGTTTTAACTGATGCAAGGTAATTTGGGCCAATTCACCTGGAAGCCTGAGGGCCAAGAAAAATTTATCTGAGGGCCGCATTTGGCCCATGGGCCACAGTTTGGACATGCCTGGTTTAGAGCAATGCATTAAAAAAATGACTAAAATACTTGGTAATGTCGGTGCTACGTCACTGGGAGGTCATCCATGATTGGTTGACGTGGTGCGTCCGATTCCAAAACTTCAGCATTTTCAGCTTCTGACGCCGACACCCTGTACATGTGTCCGGAGCGTTGACGCCCAAACGCTCAAAACATGCCGCGTCTCACCGTGCTGGTGCCTTAAGACGCACCGCAAAAACTCCGAACGCCCTAGACACATCGACACACAGACACATAAACTTTGCATGTGAACTGTGCGTCTTGACGCTCTGGTCTGAACAGACCATAACACACGTGTCTGTTTTAAACGTTCCTCTGTCTGTTGTTTCACAGTTGGTCCAGTCGTGGCCGTCTCCATTCCCTCTGCTCTGTTTAAACTGTAAAAAACCCAAAGAACCGTCAGAGAAATGCACAAACTGTGGTTCTATTGGCCCCGCCTCCTCCGCGCCGACGCCGCGCCCCCCATCCGCCTTAGCCCCACCCAGGCCCAAACCCGGACTCAGCCCGGACCGCTGCAGGGTCTACAGCCGGTCCCGGGCTTCTACAGACCCGCCTCCCCTCTGCCCATGAGAGTCACCAGAACCCAGAACAACGGAGCCAAGAGAACCAACGAGATCAGCGACCCCAGTGAGTCTGGACGAACTCTCACCTCCTCTTCATCCTCTGACCTCCTCTGCACCAACTGGACAAACTCTCACCTCCTCTTCATCCTCTTCTGCACCGTCTGGACAAACTCTGACCTCGTCTGACCTTCTCTTCATCCTCTCACCTCCTCTTCCTCCTCTGCACCGTCTGGACAAACTCTCACCTCGTCTGACCTCCTCTTCCTGCTGTGCACTGTCTGGACATCCTCTTCTCCTCTCACCTCCTCTTCCTCGGCACCTTCTGGACAAACTCTGTCCTCTGACCTCCTCCTCTTCCTCTGACCCTCTCTTCCTCCTCTGCTCTTCTGACCTCCTCCTCTTCTTCCTCTGACCTTCTCTTCCTCCTTTTCCTCTGACCTTCTCTCTTCCTCCTGCTCCTCTGCTCCTCTCACCTCTTCTTCCTCTCTTCCTCCTCTTCCTCTGACCCTCTCTTCCTCCTCTCTTCCTCCTCTTCCTCTGACCCTCTCCTCCTCTGCTCTTCTTCTTCCTCTGATCCTCTCTCTTCCTCCTCTTCCTCTGACCCTCTCTTGCTCCTCTGCTCCTCTTCTTCCTCTGACCCTCTCTTCCTCCTCTGCTCCTCTTCTTCCTCTGATCCTCTCTCTTCCTCCTCTTCCTCTAACCGTCTCTTCCTCCTCTTCTTCCTCAGTTGTCCTCTCAAGCGACGACGAGGAGGACGAAGCGGATAACGCCAGCACCGGGAGCTCTCGTCTGGACAACATCTCCCCGCGCCCGGCGGACTCCGCCCACTCCTCGCCGGCGCCCTCCGGCGGGAAAGTGGAGGCGGCGGTGAAGAGCGCGGCGGAGCAGGAGGAGCTGGGAGCCGACTTCTTCGAGGACGTCAACATGAAGATCAGTATCCCCCGAAGAGCGCGCATGAAGGACCAGGTAAACACTTAAACGGTTAATCCAAACCGCTGACCTGACTGCAGTTGTACGTAATCGCTGATTCTTTGTGTGTTCAGTTTGGGAAAAGTCCCCCAGAGCCGCCGCGTCAGAAGAAACCCAAACTCCCCGCCAAATGTTCCAGCATCATCCTGGAATGTCGAAGCATCCGGATCGGAACTCTACGGAGGCTGGTCCGCAAACCTGTGGTGGTGCGTCACTCACACTCTCACTGTAGACTGATAAAACATGTTGTAGGCCAGAAGTCTTCAAAAGAGGGGTCTGGGGTACTGCAGGGGGGTCGCTTCATCTTTGGTTGATTTATTTTTTTTTTATATTATTGAAGGGTGATGATCAACTGGTTTCAGTGGGTTCTGTGTGTTCGCTCTCTTTATTCTGTCGTCTCTTTATTCTGTCGTCTCTTTATTCTGTCGTCTCTTTATTCTGTCGTCTCGTTATTCTGTCGTCTCGCTCTCTGTCAAACTGCAAACACCTTGACTCGTTGGTGCACATGAACATTTCACACGACTGAACCAACTTTATGTCATATTTTAGCTGCCAAACGTTTCCCAAATTCTCCATTGACATTCCTGTAAAACCAGAAATGCCGCTGCAAGAAATCGCTGTTTAGGAGAATTTAGAAACAAAAGTGGGCGGGTGGAATAATGTGAATAGATGAATATAACCGACTGTAGACTCCTGGGTGTAATATTTAATATTTATAATGTTTATTACTTTATTACATTTTTATTACATTAGTAAACTTTAGACGACTGTTATTGTTACTACAGAGTTTTATAGACTCTAGAATAAAACAGTTTATTCACTGAGAGTTAATAAAAGTGGAACAGTACAGTTCTACACTCTGTTTATTTAATAATGTGTCTTTTTCTTTTTCTACAGTTCACCACAGAACACATCCAACTGGACACAGAAGGTGAGTCCTGGCCTGAGTCCTGGTTGAGTCCCGTTTGAGTCTAGTTTTGAGTCCTATTTTGAGTCCTGGCTGAGTCTAGTTTTGAGTCCGTGTTTTGAGCCCCTCTTTTGAGTCTTGTTTTGAGTCCTGGCTGAGTCTAGTTTTGAGTCTGTGTTTTGAGCCCCTCTTTTGAGTCTTGTTTTGAGTCCTGGCTGAGTCTTGTTTTGAGTCTAGTTTTGAGTCTTGTTTTGAGTCTTGTTTTGAGTCTTGTTTTGAGTCTTGTTTTGAGTCTTGTTTTGAGTCTTGTTTTGAGTCTTGTTTTGAGTCTAGTTTTGAGTCCTGGCTGAGTCTAGTTTTGAGTCCGTGTTTTGAGCCCCTCTTTTGAGTCTTGTTTTGAGTCCTGGCTGAGTCTTGTTTTGAGTCTGTGTTTTGAGCCCCTCTTTTGAGTCTTGTTTGAGTCCTGGCTGAGTCTTGTTTTTGAGTCTAGTTTTGAGTCTTGTTTTGAGTCTTGTTTTGAGTCTTGTTTTGAGTCTTGTTTTTGAGTCTTGTTTTGAGTCTTATTTTGAGTCCTGGCTGAGTCTAGTTTTGAGTCCGTGTTTTGAGCCCCTCTTTTGAGTCTTGTTTTGAGTCCTGGCTGAGTCTTGTTTTGAGTCTAGTTTTGAGTCTTATTTTGAGTCCTGGCTGAGTCTTGTTTTGAGTCTAGTTTTGAGTCTTATTTTGAGTCCTGGCTGAGTCTTGTTTTGAGTCCTTTTTGAGTCTTGTTTTGAGTCTAGTTTTGAGTCTTGTTTTGAGTCTAGTTTTGAGTCTTATTTTGAGTCCTGGCTGAGTCTAGTTTTGAGTCCCTGTTTTGAGCCCCTCTTTTGAGTCTTGTTTTGAGTCCCTGGTTTTGAGTCTAGTTTTGAGTCTTTTTGAGTCCTGGCTGAGTCTGTTTTGAGTCTTGTTTGAGTTCTATTTGAGTCCTGGCTGAGTCTTGTTTTGAGTCTAGTTTTGAGTCTTGTTTTGAGTCTAGTTTTGAGTCTTATTTTGAGTCCTGGCTGAGTCTAGTTTTGAGTCCCTGTTTTGAGCCCCTCTTTTGAGTCTTGTTTTGAGTCCTGGCTGAGTCTAGTTTTGAGTCCCTGTTTTGAGCCCCTCTTTTGAGTCCCATTTTGAGTCCTGGCTGAGTCTAGTTTTGAGTCTTGTTTTGAGTCTAGTTTTGAGTCCTGGATGAGTCTTGTTTTGAGTCCTGGATGAGTCTTGTTTTGAGTCCCATTTTGAGTCTTGATTGAGTCCCGGCTTGAGTCCTGGCATGGGGCCCGTTTTAGTCCCATTCTGAGTCCCCGCCCTTGAGTTCAGTAGAGATTGGCAATTCCAGATCTGAAATGATCCAAATTATTATCCAGATTATTCCAGGTGAAGACATAATGAGTTTAAAAAAACACAGTGGAGCACTTCCTGTATCACCACATGACATCACAAGGTGGAGCTGAGTGTTTTCTGTTTGAGAGAAGAAGAACTCGGCCTAAATCTGAAGGGTTTGAATGTTAAACGTGTGAATGAAACTAAACACGATTCTGGGTGTGTTTTTGATAAAGAAATAACTCTATATCATCAGAAAATAACCAAATATCAACCCTTTCACCCTTTAACCCTTTTAACCCTTTCACCCTTTCCTGTGTCGCTCAGGTCCAGAGGGTCAGGCCGAGTCCGTCGTGTTTCGTGCCTCGGAGCTCGTCAGCTGTGAGTGGTGCAGCGTCCGTAAACTGCCCGTGTTGTTTTTCCAAAGCACGGAGCAGGAGTGTTCTCGACTGAGGGAGCAGCTGCAGATGAACCGAGCAGCCGCCTCAGACTGGATCGACTGCTCCTCCACACGTGAGAAAAACACAACTTAACCTTGAAGTTAAACCATTTCAGGAGAAGGACGAGGGTTTGCAGCTCTCGACAAAGCAAAGAGTTACTGTAATACAAAATCAAGTTGTTTTAGTAGTTTTCTTTTCTACATAATTCCTGTTTCTGCTTCATATATTTGATGTCTTCAGTTTGAATCTACTGTATAAATAAAAGTAGTGAACATAAAGAAAAACAACACTGAAGGTTAATCCATGAATCATTTGTTTATTTGTTTTTCAAAATAAAACCAAAGAAAGAAGAAAATAAAAAAACAACAACTATTTTCTCCAAAACTAAAATGAAAAAAACAGATAACGACCATTTCCATGACTTAAACTGCGATGCTGGACTGAACCAGGTCTGAACCAGGTCTGAACCAGGTCTGAACCAGGTCTGAACCAGGTCTGAACCAGGTCTGAACCAAGTCTGAACCAAGTCTGAACCAAGTCTGAACCAGGTCTGAACCAAGTCTGAACCAAGAAGACTGAACAAACCAGGTCTGAAGAGGTCTAAACCAGAGAACAGAGTCTGAACCAGAGACTAAACCAGAGACTAAACCAAGGGACTAAACCAGAGACTAAGACCAGGTCTAAACTCCAGACCAGGGACTAGACCAGGGACTAGACCAGAGACTAGACCAGAGACTAGACCAGAGACTAGACCAGAGACTAGACCAGAGACTAGACCAGAGACTAGACCAGGGACTAGACCAGAGACTAGACCAGGGACTAGACCAGAGACTAGACCAGAGACTAGACCAGAAATTGGACCCGAGCCCATGGAACAGGGTGTCTGCAAAATGCATTCGGGCGCTGGTTACCTGACGGTCTATGCGGGTGCACCTCCAGGCCAGTCCTGATTCTCAGTCCTGGTTCAGTTCTGGTTTAGTTCTGGTTTCGTCCTGATTCAGTCCGTATGCGGCGCAAAAGTCACAGAAACAGGAAACGGCTGTTATCTGTTTTTTTCCTTTATTATTACGCAGCGAAAATAGTTTTAGGATAGTCAGAAAACTAAAGACAAAAGACCAAAGTGATTTAAAGAGCACATTTTCATTTTCCTGTGATCATGTTCTTGGTTCTGTTTAGGAGTTTGATTTTACACTAAAAGTTGAGAGTGACTCGCTGAAAAACTAATTGGTTAATGCAAATGTGATTTAGAGGGACGTGTTTAATCGCACAGATCATCTCACCTGTTGTAGTTCAGATAGTTCAGTTCTTTCTGGTCAGATTATGTTCTTGGAGATACTCGGCCTCAGCTTCACTTCTGTGTGTCCCTCAGACCCGGATGAGAAGTACATCGTGCTGATCTTTGAGAACGGCCTCCCCATGGAGCAGCAGGTCATCCTGGAGGACATTTTAGGAGAAATCGGCCAAAACAACAACCTCACAGACTTTCCCTCCAAAATCTCCTTCGACGAAGCGAATCTGCGGCTGGTGAACTACAACAAGGCCACGGAGCGAAAGGACGACAAGGTCTGAGCTCCAATCTTTATTATTAGAGTTTAAAGAGGAGATAATATGCAGATTTTTATTTTACCTTTCTCTCATGTTTGAATGTTGTTCTGGAAAAACTGGAAAAATCTGTGGGTTTTGTTTAAATCTGCAGGAACATGGGACACAGGCTCAAAACTGGTGACTGTCCCGGGGAAACAGGGACATGTGGTCACTCTAAACATGATGATCTAAATATGTGTTACTGTTAAAGGGCCCATCTCATGAAAATCAACTTTTCAGAGCTTTCTACCTTCTAAGAGTGATGTGTGGGCCTTGGATTTGGCGCCCAAGTGTTTTTTTAGATTGATTCTGCGTTTTTTTTTAACAAATTGCGGCGTATTTCTGCCACCTTCCCACGTGACGACGAACTAAAGCTGCTACAACAATGATACACCTATGACACTTTTGACGTAGCAGAAAACGCTTCACACCCGACCCCCTACAGTGTCCACGATATAATAAGTTGATCTACTAGTGTTTATTAATACTTTACCAATCAGTAATGTTCAGCTGATGTGGATGCGGTGCTTGAGCTTCGTGCTCCTCAAAGTCCTCGTCCGATTCCGGGTCCAACACATGCGGCTGAACGCGCTGTATCTCCATGATGAATAAAAGTTTATTCCTGCCTCTATCAGGGTCACGTCTGTCTCCCCCTCCCTCCCTGAGATGGCGGAGGAAGGGCGGCTCACTCAGAGTCTACGTCACGTTTGGAGGGCGGAGCCTGTGCTTTCTGAGGACGGGCGGGGGCAGGAGCAATAGTCGTCGTAAGATTTCAGAACTATTGTGTAATGGATGTTCCAAAACCCAAACTGTGCAGAAGAAACAATGTGAAAAGAATTATTACCTTTGCCAAGGAGGTTATGTTTTTGCCGGTGTTTGTCTGTTTGTTTTTGTTTGTTTGTTTGTCTGTTAGTAACATAACTCAAAAAGTTATGGACCGATTTTGATGAAATTTTCAGGATTTGTTGGAAATGTGAAAAGGAAGAACTGATTTCATTTTGGGGCTGATCCGGAAGAAATCCTGGATTCTGGATCACTTTGAAATTTTAGTTAACATTGTGGTAAATGGGGCCAAACATTTAGTTTCTCAATATCTCGGTTAATTATTGACCAAACCCCATGAAATTTGACTCAGGGATGGACAATGGGATCCTCTTTCATATTCCAAAGGCTGATCCGGATCTGATCCAGAAGACTGATTTATCGCAATTTATATATGTCCTTGGCGGAGGTCTGCGCTCTCTGACTGCTTTTCTAGTTTAACATCAGATGGGACATTTATCCAATCCAGTCCACTTTATTTATACAGCACATTTCACAAACAAACTGTTTCCTAAGTGCTGCACAAATACATAAAAAATAACAACAATAAGATGATAAAGTAAATTACTAAAATAATACTAGTCTTAAAGTAATAAAACTAGTAAAATAATATAAACCAGTAAAATAAAAATAAAACTATATCATAGAATAGAAATAAATAAACCAATAAATAAATTTAATCAGTAAAACCAATAAAAACACATAAAAATAAATAAAAGACACAGAGGACCACACGACTCACGCGGTGTTAAAAGCCAGAGAATAAAAGTGGGTCTTCAGACGAGATTTAAAACTCTCCACTGTGGAGCCGCTCGAACGTGAAGCGGCAGATCGTTCCAGAGTTTAGGGTCGACCACAGAGAAGCTCCTGTCCTCCTGGTTTTAAATCTCGTCTTAGGCCCTGAGCTGGAGCTGGACCTCGGACCTCAGAGCGCAGGGGTATAAATTTGGATGAGGTCCGAGATGTACTGTGGAGCCAGAACATTCAAAGCTTTAAAAACAAACAATAAAATCTTAAAATCAATTCTAAAATTAACAGGGAGCCAGTGCAAAGATTTAATACCCCAAAGAAGTAAAACACCTCCTTTTTAATAATCATGAATAATTCTAAAATGGTGATGTTTCTTTTAACACTCAAATATTCTACAGAGTGCTCTAAATGTTTTTTTCTGTTCAGTCATTTGTATTTTTCCTCTTCTGTTGCTGGTTTGTTCTGAGGCACAGAACCTGTCACTCACTGGTCAGGGGTCGTGTGTGTGTGTGTGTTTTCCAGGTTAAACCCGCCCGGACTCCTCCCAAGCCCAACCCGGTCCCGGTCCGGACCCGGATGTCCACGAGACACAAACCCAGCAGCTTCGAGTCGGACGATGAGATGACGGAGCTCCAGCCCACCTTCACCGGACCCATCGTCAAGTACGAGAGTTTAGATTTAAAGCTGCACTCTGTCGCTTTTTGGCTGGGGGTTCGTCACGTGACCTGCTTGTTTCTATGGAGATGTCATTGATGTACCTGGAATGTTCCACAGTGTGACATTAAACCGCTCTACTTTACATTTATTCAATTACAGGTTTTATAGCTCAAAAAACCCTAGAAAAACAACATTCTGACTGTGAGCGGGGTCGCCTCTCCACAGATCTAACCTGGAACTCAGTCTAGTTTGGTCCCCATGAAGATGGAAAGGTTTAAAGCTGTACTGTGGAACACTCCAGACAAAGAAATAACATCTTCATGGAGAAAAGTGTTTGACAAACCCTGCACCAGAAAAGTTACCCGATGCACCTGTTTCCTCACCACAAACAGACCTGCAGTTGTTGTGTTTTGTTTCGTTCACATGTTTAACTCACAAACCCTGCACATTTAGCAGGGTTCTCACAGTCATGGAAATCCTGGAAAAGCCATGGAAATTGAAAATGTGTTTTTCCAGACCTGCAAAAGTCATGGAATTTTGTAAATTGAACTTAAGTTTTGGAAAAGTTAAGGAATTTTAGTATCTTAACTCCAGTGTTGTGTTAAGTTCTCGTGAGTCTGTTCTGATTATTTCTGAACGTCTGAGCCTTTTGTTTAAAAGAGACGACAATAAATGCACTGACAGGATTTTAAATGTTTTAAAACTATAATCCCAAACCATAAAGTGAGTGGAAAGAGTTCACATTTCAGATTTAGAACCTAAAACAGACATGTCAAACTCAGGCCCGGGGGCCAAATGTGGCCTGTGAGATCAGATCAAATCTGTATCAGAGCTGCCGCCGCACACAAAGACTATAGACGTATTATTTATTTAAAAAGTTGTTATTATTTTATATTCTGCTTGTTCAGGATTCAATGTTTAAGCAAAACTATGATTAAACATTTATTTTATTAAGAAAAGGTTTAACATTACAGATCTCGAAAGAAGAGAAAACATGCAGATGTTGAAATTTTTCAGTAAATATTTAGTTTGGTCGACTTAGTCCCAGTTTTTAATTTTAGCCTCTGTGAGTTTGAGTTTGACTCTCCTGTCCTAAAAGTCTGATCAGTTCTACACATGTTGGTGCAGTAAAGTCATGGAAAATTCACTTTAGGTCATGAAAAAGTCATGGAAAAGTTTTGAAAAGTGAGTGAAAAAGAGCGGGAACCCTGATTTAGGCCGAGTTCTTCTCTCAAACTGAAAACACTCACAAACTGTTCCACCTTGTGATGTCATGTGGTGATACAGGAAGTGCTCCGCTGCGTTTTTAAACTCCACACACCTTCACTAGAATCGTCTGGATAATTTCAGCCCTAGATTTCCCAATAAAAAGGAGCTGTTCACTTGAAAACTACCACTTCATGACATCACCAGGTGGAATAATACAAATAGAGAGTTACTCAAACATGTGTGAGTGAAACAAAACACAACTCCAGGTCTGTTTTTGACGAGGGAACAACATTAGAACACGACTTAAAGCTCACAGGAGTCACTTTCATGTAATATAGACAGTGTTGGGAAGGTTACTTTAAAAATGTAATCCCCTACAGATTACAGATTACATCCCCCAAAATGTAGTTTGTAACAGAATCCATTAAGTTACTTAAAGTGAGTAACGTAATCTGAATACTTTGGATTACTTGATATTGTCCTGGTTTTAGTCCTGGTTTAGTCTTGGTTTAGTTCTGGTTTAAGTCCTGATTTAGTTCTTTTAGTTGTGGATTTAGTTGTGGATTTAGACCTGGTTTTAGTCCTTATTTTAATCCTGGTTTAGTTCTGGTTTAGTCCTGTTTTAGTTCTGGTTTTAGTCCTGGTTTAGTTCTGTTTTAGTCCTGGTTTAGTTCTGGTTTTAGTCCTGGTTTTTCCTGGTTTTTAGTCCTGGTTTTAGTTTCCTGGTTTTAGTCCTGGTTTAGTCCTGTTTTTTTGTCTTGGTTTAGTCCTGGTTTAGTTCTGGTTTAGTTCTGGTTTAGTCTGGTTTGTCTGGTTTAGTCTGGTTTTGCCTGGTTTTAGTCTGTTTAGTTTAGTCTGGTTTTAGTTGGTTTAGTTTTCCTGGTTTGGTTTAGTCCTGTTTTTTTGTCTTGGTTTAGTCTCCTGGTTTAGTCTTTTTTCCTGGTTTTGTTTAGTCCTGGTTTTAGTCCTGGTTTTAGTCCTGGTTTAACCCAAAATATGAAAACAGTAAAATCCCTCTGTGTAATCCACTTATTTCAACAAAGTAACTGTAATCCAATTCCCACTCACTGAAACAGTAACTGTAACTGAATACAGTTACTCATCATTTGTACTCTGATTACATAACTCGAGTACGTGTAATCTGTTACTCCCCAACACTGAATATAGAACATTTTAATAATAGAAAAGATGATTTAATTCCCGTTGTTTTGCCTCATAGACTTTCTCGTCGTTTAGATTAAAGAGTTTCATTTGTATATTTCGATGTATCTGTGTGTGTATTTTAATGTGAGTGTCCGTGTGCGTCTCAGGCTGATGGTGTACCCCCCTCCTCCCGCCAAAGGGGGCATCACCGTCACCAACGAAGACCTGCACTGTCTGAACGACGGAGAGTTCCTCAACGACGTCATCATCGACTTCTATTTAAAGTGAGACTCGGGTTTGAGCGGAACACGGAATGTTAAAAGTGAAAACAAAAACACACACAAAAGACACGCACGCAGACTTTTATTTTGAAGGGAACGATTTGCTGGACTTGTCAGAGTTTTTCTTCATGTTATAGTCGTTTTTTTTTTTTCTCAGCGCACTTTGTTTTAGATCAATATTATGATTTAAAACGTCCGGATTGTTCTTAAATCTCGCGTCTCTTTGTTTGCGCCGCAGGTATTTGGTCCTGGAGAAGTTGAAAAAGGACGACGCTCAGAGGATCCACGTCTTCAGTTCGTTCTTTTACAAACGACTGAATCAGAGAGAACGACGCAACGGTTTAGCCCCGGGTTTAGACTCAGACTCGGGTTTAGACCGGGTTTAGACTCGGGTTTAGACTCTGGTTTAGACTCTGGTATAGACTCTGGTTTAGACTCTGGTTTAGACTCTGGTTTAGACTCTGGTTTAGACTCTGGTTTAGACCTAGACTCTGGTTTAGACTCTGGTTTAGACTCTGGTTTAGACTCTGGTTTAGACTCTGGTTTAGACTCTGGTTTAGACTCTGGTTTAGACTCGGGTTTAGAGTTTAGACTCTGGTTTAGACTCTGGTTTAGACTGCTTTAGACTGGTTTAGACCGGGTTTAGACCGGGTTTAGACTCGGGTTTAGACCTGGTTTAATATTGGAGTAGCTCCTGGTTTAGATCCTGGTTTAGTTCCCGGTTCAGGCCTAGTTTAATCCTGGCTTAGTCTTGGTTTTAGTCCTGGTTTAGTCCCTGGTTTAGTCCCTGGTTTAGTCCTGGTGTAGACCTAGTTTAGTCATGGTTTATTCCCTGGTTTAGTCCTGGTTCAGTCCTGGTTTGGACCTGTTCCAGACCAGTTTTAGTGCTGGTTTGGCCTGTTTTAGTCTCTGTTTTAGTCTCTGGTTTAGTCCAGATTTAGTCCCTGGTTTAGTCCTGGTTTAGACCTAGTTTAGACCGGGTTCGGTCCTGATTTAGTCCCTGGTTTGGTCCTGGTTTAGTCCTGGTTTAGTCCTGGTTTAGTCCCTGGTTTAGTCTTTGTTTAGTCTTTGTTTAGTCTTGGTTTAGTCCTGGTTTAGTCCTGGTTTAGTCCTGGTTCAGTCCTGGTTTAGTCCCTGGTTTAGTCTTTGTTTAGTCTTGGTTTAGACCTGGTTTAGTCCTGGTTTAGTCCTGGTTCAGTCCTGGTTTAGTCTTTGTTTAGTCTTGGTTTAGACCTGCTTTAGTCCTGGTTTAGTCCTAGTTTAGTCCTGACTTTTGACTGTTTCTTTCTCAGGCTCCAGAAAAAGAAGCACAACCGTGTGAAGACCTGGACCAGACACGTGGACCTGTTCCAGAAGGACTTCATCTTCGTCCCCATCAACGAGTCGTGAGTTTAGACTTTATTCTGAGCACGGGCGCGAATCGGCTCCATCCACTCTGGCTCCAGTTCACTTTCTGTTGAAAAACCATGTTCTCTCTGGACCTGCTGCTGTCAGGCTCCTCATTCTGACCTTCAAATGTTGGTCTGAACCTCCTCTCCGTGATCCTGGAGTTTTTATTTCACTATTTTGTCTCTAAATCAAGATCTGAAATTTAATAACAAACAAATCAGGATCTGTTCATGGTGAAATAAAAAAAACAGACAAAAAAGTGAATTGGACCCAGACCCGGTTTAGTTCCTGGTTTAGAGCTGGTTCAGGGCTTGGTTTAGACCTGTTTTAGTCCTGCATTAGACCTAGTTTTGATCTGGTTTAGACCTGGTTCAGTTCAGTCCCTGGTTTCGAGTCTGGTTGTCCTTTAGACCTGGATTTCAAAACTGGTTGGTTCAAGTTCACCTGGTTCAGTTTCAGTCCTGGTTCAGTTCCCTGGTTCATCGTTCCTGGTTCAGTCCTGGTTCAGTTAGTCCCTGGTTCAGTCCCTGGTTCAGTCCCTGGTTCCCTGGTTCAGTTCTGGTTCACTGGTTCATGGTTCATGGTTCAGTCCTGGTTTCAGTTCTGGTTCAGTCCTGGTTCAGTGGTTCAGTCCTGGTTCCTGGTTCAGTCCTGGTTCATTAGTCCTGGTTCAGTCCAGTCCTGGTTCAGTCCTGGGTTCAGTCCTGGTTCAGTCCTGGTTCAGTCCCTCCCGGTTCAGGTTCAGTCCTGGTTCAGTTTCCAGTCTGGTTCAGTTTCTGGTCAGTCCTGGTTCAGTCCTGGTTCGTTCCTGGTTCAGTCCTGGTTCAGTCCTGGTTCAGTCCTGGTTCAGTCCTGGTTCAGTCCCGGTTCAGTCCTGGTTCAGTCCTGGTTCTGGTTCTGTTTCTCAGAGCTCACTGGTACCTGGCTGTGATCTGCTTCCCGGGCCTGGAGCGCCCCCTGCTGGAGCCCAACCCTCAGTTCCAGGGCGAGAGTCCGAGCGGCGAGTCCCAAACGGAGGAGCCGATCCCGGATCACTGCCGCCCGCTGTCGCCCTGCGCCTCCCCGGAGCCCGAGGAGCCCGAGGAGCGACCGGAGAACCAGGAGAACCCACAGGAACAGAGCTACAGCAGTGAGTCCACACCAGCACAAACACTGAGGTCATCTGTGGTGATTTAGCTTCTGTCAAACTCAAAACGCTCTGTTCCACCTTGTGATGTCATCATGGGGCGATACAGGAAGTGCTCCAATGTGTTTTTAAACTCCGCACACCTTCACTAGAATCATGTGGATAATTTCAGCTCTGGAGTTGCCAGTTTTTGCTAAATTAAAGGTAAAAGAAGCTGTTCACTTGAAAACTACCACTTCATGACATCACCAGGTGGAACAGAGCGTTTGGAGCTTTGGAGATGTTACAGAGTCATAATAAAGAGTCACTCAAACATGTGAATGAAACA